GAAAATTTGAGAAGGAATCTCAGATGGCAGAAGTGGAGGTCTCTCAAACTCCAATAGCCATCTTTGAAGAACCAAATGAAGCTGAAGATAGTGACTCCCTCTCCAGATACATATCAAATTTTGCACTTGATGAAGCAGAAGGAGAATCTGAGCGGACACTAAAGATCACTGATGAAGAAGATGTACAAGAAGATGCTGAATCTCTTCCTTTGCAACTGTTCCAAAGAACATCATCTCCTCATCAGGTAACCAATTTTCACTTCCATAGCTCTTCCACTCCTACCCTTCCAGATGAGATACCAGAAACCTGGACAAAGAAGGTCCAAGGGCTGATTGAATCAGCCCTAGCATCTCAACATGCCTCCTTTAGGCAAGAGATAGAGCAAATGGAAGCCAAATACACTCAACTGCTAGAGAAGTCAGAAGAAAAACACAGCGCATATCTAAAGGAGATAGGTAAATCAGTAGACAAAACTCTAGAGACCATCTCTTTATTGAGTGATACTGTGAGCAACACTATGGAAATTTATGCCTCTGACAGTCAACTTCAATTCAAAGAGTTCAACAAAGTCAAAGAGCAAATAGCAAGTGTCACAGTTGGTCTACAAAAACAGATGTCCCTTCTCCAAATGGACATCAGATCAGCCCTAGCAGTAGCTTCAGCAAACCAGGTAGTAATCAAAGACTACTTGAAGGTGATCATTGACAATCAAAAGGAAGCATACAAGCTGTTCAGACTTATTGGTGCACATACTGGGAATCGCAAGATGGAAGTGATTCTCCAACAACACAGTCCATCTCCAATACCACAGCTCCCTATTGCAGTCAAAGAAGGAGAAGCATCTTATATCCCTTCTCATCTGAACATGACTAATCTGATCCTTGAAGCACAACAAAGAAATCCGGAAAACTCAGCACAGCACCTATCCAGCTCAGGACTGGATGGAACAGAATTTATAGGTGCAGTTGCTGACCACTTCTCAGATGCTGCTCAATCAGAGGAAAGGCGTGAAAATTTAAGGCGCATCAAAGAACTGTGTGGGAACATGCAGGGCATCAGTGAGGTTGCCGGATCTTCAAAATGCAAAAGGAACTGAAGGTTCTTTTCATCAAACCAGGGGGAAAGTATGTGAAAACACCAATTTGTTTTGATGAAAACACCTTCATGTTTAAACATTGCTTGATTGGTTTAAACATTGCAACACTGCTTCAACAAGTGAGATTTTGTCTTAATTAATTTTTCTGAAGCGCATACATTCAGGGGGAACTTACCCAGTTTTGGCTAACAATTGTTTTTGGCTATGAATTATTGATGAGCTCTAAGCAATGGAAGTCGGATATCTCAGTTTTTGTACTAAAATTGCAAATCTCCGATTCAGGTACTTTACAAAATCTGTCTTCTAAAACTAAGCTCTAATCCTTAATTCATTTCCAACTAGCTCTAAAAGTACTGGTCCTTAGGATTTTTATAATGTACAGGACTTTGGAAAAATAGTACCACTTTTCTTTTAAAAATAAATAAAAATTCATATTTGTTTTGGTACTACCTCGTCCTAAGTAGAAATTAGAACTATAGGGAATGAAAAATGATAGTTTTATTTTGGGCCTTGAGAACCCAATAGGAATAATTTCCCTTTAGTACATAGCTTTCTTTTCTTTTTGGGCCACTCTTTTGGGCTTAGCCAAACTAAAACAGTTACGTTTCTCAAACCAAATGAAACTGATTTTCTAATTGGAACAGTTTCAATCCATTCGTAACTGGTAAAAGATTCCTTTTACTTTTCAACTTCTTGGAAGTTGAAACTCCTTTACTCTCACAGTTCCAACTACCCACTTAATGGAACCCGTGAACCTCCTCCTCCCCTATTTAAATCAAGATATGCCAATCCATTTCCATCACAAACAATTCTCTAAATATGAAAGTCTTCAAGTTCACTGTCTGAGAAAAACACCAAGAAAATATCATCAATGGAGAAATTTCTTTTTCTCACCCTCATAGACGGCAATGGAGAAAAGCCTAGTGAGAAGGAAAGTAATTCAAAGTTTATGGTGCAATTCTCGGCAGTAGAGAAAGTTTATGGTGTAATTCTCGTATTTTTCAGGATTATACCATACACTTTCTCTGGAACAACACTCTCTCTATTTTTTCTTTTTATTTTTTCAGGATCTCTTTCCCCTCCCCTTTCCTTTCTTTACTTTTTCTAAATCTTTTTTGAGCAGTCCCCCCAATTTTCTTACAAGTTTTTTTTTGGGTGGTACCTCTGCTCCCTTCTCTCAAGGAGTTCTCAAAATTTTTTTTAGAACTCTTTTTCAAAATTTCTTTTAAATTTTTTTTTTCTTTCATCTTTAAAAACTTTATTTTATCTTTTTCACAATCAATTCTCTTTTCCAAAACCTTTTCTTTCTTGTCATTTTATCTCTCTTTTGTTTTCTTCTTTCATTTTTATTTTTATTTTTTGAGAGATGTGTTGCTTCCTAGATCTTGGTTATCCACTTTGGATAATAGAGATCTATCAAACGCAACGCCAACCGCTCCGCCAAGCAGAATCTGCTGAAGCTGAAAACAGTCAATGGCGGAAGATATCACAAAATCTCAAGACAAGACTTGGTTAAGGAATTATTGTAATTTGAATTGTATCTGTTTAAGAGTTTTTGTTAACAAGCTGTATATTATGAGAAACTAAAAGATTGTTATAAAATTAGTTCTCAGTACAGCGACCGGAACTCTTAAACACTTGTTTGTCATCATCAAAAAGGGGGAAATTGTTGGGAAAAATATTATAGATTTTGATGATGATGTATTTAGAATGTAATAGGAACTTTAGGTCTCCCCCATTATTCAATGTAATTTTTCTTTTTAGAAATATTGTCAAAACCGAGCTCTTGAGATTTCCAATAAAAGCTGTGATATTTCTTTAAGCGTTTTGATGCCTGAAGACTTAATCTTTTTCGGTGATATGGAAATTGGATATCTTGATCGGAAATGTCAGAGACAAGTAAGGATTTCTCAATCAGATGAAAATCCTCTGATCCGGAAGACTACATAAGTACAGGATGTCTCGCTACAACCCGCTGAAGGCTAAGTCATTCAAGTCGGAAGACTAGCGCGGATCTCCTTCTCACCCGGAAGTCTGAAGAATGACTCCTCCGGATCTGTCAGCTAAGAATCGGAAGACTCATTGAAGACCGAAATTCTCAGAAAGCGGACAAATGAGAAAATACTTAGAAAAATTATCTAAGTCCTGAATGAAGAAATTCTACCCGTTGGTAAGGAAAAATCAATCTCTTGATTTTCAACGGCTAGATTGAAGATAATTATGCTGATTCAAGAACAAATTACTCGAAGACAAAGTCTGGCCCTCTAAATTGAAGAGCCTGCCCAGAATTCCTAAACAAG